ATATTTAGTACTTCATTCGCCACAGAAAGTTGTAGTGGAAGCAGAGAAAGGAGTACTGTTTACACCATGCATATGAACTCACATAGAAATATTTACATTGCTCAGTCTGCACAAATATATTTTATTTTCCTATCTCTGTTCAGAGAAATGATCTAGAAAAAAACTACAGTAGTAATGGTCACATACACTTTCATATTTTGGTTTCTAATAGCGTCTCTCACTTAAAGGAGCCAGGGCATCTGGATAAATGGGGGATTCCAAGCCTGATCAGAGGAAATGGACAAGGAACCTAGAGTTTCTTGCACCAGAAAGCAAGAATGTTCTCTCAAAATAATCTGAGAAAACATATGCAATACCGTATATGTTTCTATAATGTGGATATATATCATTATATAGGTATCAAAACTGATAGAATGTACCAACACAAGAACCCTCATGTTCACCTATGAACTTAGGCGTAAGGTGACTTATCTGTGATGGTTCATTGATTATGGCAAATATATCATTTTGGTGACGGATGTTTGTAATGGGGGCAACATACGAATTTAGAAAAAAAATGGATATGGGCAATCTCTATGCCTTCTCCTCAGTTTTGTTATGAAAATAAAACTGCTGTTAAATATGGTCAATTTTTACAATCAAAATATAAGATGAGGAAGAGGAGAGAGAGGAAGAACAGAAGGAGGAAGGAGAAGTTGTTAAAAGATTTAAGCCCAAGAGAATTTGACCATCAAAATAAAAAATGATAGCAAAAGAATAAATTTATAGTATATAACATCATACTTAAATAAAGAAGAATGGAACTCTCTTACAATCTAATACCAACTCATATGTGTACAGTAGATGATAGAATGATAAAGGCAGCAGTTTGTAAACATCATAATTCAAATGCTTTCTATCAAAAATTATCTGTGTATGATAAAACTAGTTGGTGAAATTATGTTGAGAAACAGGATGCTTACTCAGTGTCAGAGGTTTCCACCACAACATTCTTATGAATTACATGGGAAAAGCTAATCATAGTATCAGATGAA